ATTTGGGAATTAGAAAAATAGAAAATTGAGAAATTGGGAAATTGGGAAATTGGGAAATTGGGAAATTGGGAAATTGGGAAATTGGGAAATTGGGAAATTGGGAAATTGGGAAATTGGGAAATTGGGAAATTGGGAAATTGGGAAATTGGGAAATTGGGAAATTGGGAAATTGGGAAATTGGGAAATTGGGAAATTGGGAAATTGGGAAATTGGGAAATTGGGAAATTGGGAAATTGGGAAATTGGGAAATTGGGAAATTGGGAAATTGGGAAATTGGGAAATTGGGAAATTGGGAAATTGGGAAATTGGGAAATTGGGAAATTGGGAAATTGGGAAATTGGGAAATTGGGAAATTGGGAAATTGGGAAATTGGGAAATTGGGAAATTGGGAAATTGGGAAATTGGGAAATTGGGAAATTGGGAAATTGGGAAATTGGGAAATTGGGAAATTGGGAAATTGGGAAATTGGGAAATTGGGAAATTGGGAAATTGGGAAATTGGGAAATTGGGAAATTGGGAAATTGGGAAATTGGGAAATTGGGAAATTGGGAAATTGGGAAATTGGGAAATTTGGAAATTTGGAAATTGGGAAATTGGGAAATTGGGAAATTGGGAACTTGGGAACTTGAGAACTTGGAAAATTTGCGAAATTGGAAAATTGGGAAATTAGAAACGTGGATATTGGAAAATTAGAAAATTGGGAATTTGGAAAATTGGGAAATTAGAAAATTCGGAAATTGAGAATTTGGGACATTGGAAAATTGAAAAATTAAAAACTTGGATATTGGGAAATTAGAAAATTGGGAAATTGAGAATTTGGGAAACTGGGAAATTGGGAAATTGGGAAATTGGGAAATTGGAAAATTGGGAAATAGTGGAAATTGGGAAATTGGAAAATTAGGAAATTATAAATTATAAAAATTGAACAACTTTCCAACTTATACATCCAAAAATTTAGAAATCTATACTCACAAATTTTGAACTTTAAGAAACCGTGGATTCAAAAATTCTTACAAAATGAAAAATTGGAAATTTCACTTAAAAAAAAATGCAAACAACAATGAGTACCTGCAAAAGCAACAAAAACCCAACAAAAACGAATAGCTAAAATCTAAACAATAAAAGCAACAGAACAAAAATGAATACATAATACTGAGAACTCTCAATAATTACATTGCACAAAAAGTGAAACTCGTAAATTAAATTTACGCAATTCTTCGGAGTATAAAATTTATATTTATATTAACCAGGAAACCAATTGAACGCGTTTATCGGTTTTCATTCAAACGTTCTCGTTAATCATGCAACAACGTTTAATCGCGTTGAAAAAAAGTCATCGTTAAACCGGAAGTGCATGCGTAGACGTACAAACATGTTACTAACATCAGAAGGGCATTTGATTTACAAGTGCAATTAAAGACAACTTAATCGTGAACCCACCGATAAACGTGCCATTTGCGTATTAATATTTAAATTGGTATGCAAGAGAGATAGAGATAGAGATGAAGAAAGGGAAGGAAGAAGTGGAAAACGGTGTCAGCGTTGTCTTCCGTTCGACTCATCGTTAGTCGATTTCCGTATCTCGAACGAGTTACCTCATACAAACAACCTTCTTTAATTAATTGCATGTCGGAGAATGATCATGAAACGGTTATAGAACGGTCATAAATAAGACAGTGCATATGTAAACACGAGATGAAGTAAAATCAGAGTATGTCTGTTGCTCTGATAAATCAAATCGGTGATAATGTTTGAGGAATAGTAAATATTGTAAGGGAAGCTAGTTTCTTGGGGGAAAATTGTGTATTTTATAAATTTAGGAAGATTGTGAAAGGACATAAAATTAATTTCTAATAACATAAGGATAAAATTAGAAATAAATAGAAAATGTAAGATAATTTTAATTTTGATGCTGTGTTAGTTGAGTGAATAAAGGTTAATAGTGTAAAGTTATGGCAGATTTAGAGAGATTATCAATTTTTAGGTTGTAAGTACATGATTCATACATTTTTCATTTTGTTGAGAGAATGGATGCATTGCTGTTTTGTTTTGCTGCATTGTTTTCCGATGATAATGTAAATTTGTTTTATGTAATGTGTAAATAAAAAATTTGCTGTTTTTCAAATGTAGAAATATTTCTGACGAAGTTATAATTTTTAATAAGTTAATGATAGATAAACTGAAATATTAATTTGAGACGCAGTTGTTTACAGATTTCTAAATTTTTCGATTTGTAAGAAAGAAAAGTTTTAAATTTGTGTAATTATGAATTAACAGATTCTTAAATTCTCAAGTTTGTAGACTATTGAGTTCATAAACCTTCAAATTTCCGAATTATCAAGTTTTTGAGTTTTTAAATCACTAGATTTTTAAATTTTGAATTTTCTAAATTATTAAGCTTCTGAAGTTTTAGATTTGTATATTATAAAATTTCAAAATTGCTAAATTCATAAATTTCCAAATTTGTAACTTTATAGATCATATTCCTCAATTTAAAAAAATTATTGACTTTCAAAATACCTGAACTCTCAAATCTCAAAATGCCAAAATCTCTAGCTCTCAAGGTTTCAAGATTTCAGAATCTCTAAATTTCAATATCTCAAATTCTGAAACTCTCTTACTCTTCAAATCACCAAATCACAGAATCTTCAAATCTTCAAATTTTCAATTACCTCAGTTTACAAATCTCCAAATCTTCAAATTCTTAAATCTCCAAATTCTCAATTTCCCCAGTTTCCAAAACTTCAAATTCTCAATTTCCCCAAATCACCAAATTCTCAATTTCCCCAAATCACCAAATTCTCAATTTCCCCAATTTCCAAATTTCCCAATTTCTAATTTCCCCAATTTCCAAATCTCCAAATTCTCAATTTCCCTAAATCTCCAAATCTCCAAATCTCTAAATCTCCAAATCTCCAAACTTTCAAATCTCCAAATCTCCAAATCTCCAAATCTCCAAATCTCCAAATCTCCAAATCTCCAAATCTCCAAATCTCCAAATCTCCAAATCTCCAAATCTCCAAATCTCCAAATCTCCAAATCTCCAAATCTCCAAATCTCCAAATCTCCAAATCTCCAAATCTCCAAATCTCCAAATCTCCAAATCTCCAAATCTCCAAAACTCCAAATCTTAAATCTCCAAATCCCCAAATCCCCAAATCTCCAAATTCCCAAATCTCCGAATCCCCAAATCTCCAAATCCCCAAATCTCCAAATCCCCAAATCCCCAAATCTCCAAATTATTATAGTCTCAAATTTCCCAATCCTCAAATCCTCAAACACTCAAATTCGCAAATTACAAAATTTCCCAAATTTCCAAATTAAATTTCAAATATTCAAATTCTTAAATTTACAAACCTAAAATCCCCCAATTCCAAAAATCCCAAAATTTCCAAATTTATGAATCTATTCATCTAAACATACAAATAACTTTCAGCCTTCCAAATAGAAAAATTTAGAAATCCTTAAAACTGCAAATTTTGAAACACCGCATAATCTCTCTTCATTATGAGAACCCATCGATTGCAATATAACGAGAGTCAACATACTCATCAACGTCCATCTCTTTTACATCGATCAACTATGTAAAAAGCACTGTCAATTTCTGTCCCGTGTAATTTTTAACGTCTACGTAATTTGAAACGGTGCTGATTCGAATCAATAAATAAATGATAAATGATACTCGATAACAAATAATAAATGATGAAGTAATACCAAATTTTCCGGTAAAAATTAAAAATTTCACGCTCGATAAATAACTCATAAATCACTCGAAATCGTAAAACTTCGTTCGTAAACGAGATAATGCAGAAAATAAATAATGGAATATTATTCTCGATTCGGCGATAAACAGGAATAGCAAATACCGTAAATGAATTTACAGAATATTGTAAATCAAATTCTTCAAGAAAATTATGGATTTTATACAAATCGTTAGTAACATAAGCAATGTTACCTTCAGTTTTTGTCGCGTCGATGATTATCGCCGATAATGACAGCTCTTCGATCGCATAATACGCTCGAGTGAAAAAGCAGCGAGCAAGAAAAGCGACGCGGAAAAAAAACGAATAGTTTCTTGAGCACAGGCGTCGCGACGCTCTCTCGACGGAATCATGTGAAAACGAAAGGAAGTTCCTTGGTGTTGCGAAGTTTTTGCATTGATTATAAATTATCGCGGGACGTTAATTTTATTGTCGGACACAAAACGAACTGGAACGAGAACCGGAGAATTTATTTCGCTCGCTGCTGAAAATTCTGCGCGAATTCGAAGATGGACGCGTTTCGAGAGGAAAGGAATTTTAATTGAATTGTGTCTTCTGCCAGTTCATAACTGTATAACAATTGTTTAATTAGTGCTGTGGTTATTATTAAATGAGAAACTTTTAATGAATTTAAAAAATGGAGGGATTTTTGACAATTGATGAGAGACGATTAAAATTGAAATCGATTTATTGGGAGAATACAGTGAAATAAATAAAACAAAATTGTAAATAAAATTTATAAAGCAAAACGAACAAACGAAAACTGAAAATAAAGTTTATAAAGTGAAATAAATAAAACAAAATTAAAAATAGAACTCAGAAAGAGACACGAACAAAACAAAATTTGTAAAATGAAAAGAATAAAACAAAAATGAAAATAAAACTCATGAAGAAAAACGAACGAAACAAAACTGATAATAACATTTGTACAATGAAAGGATTAATACAAAATTGAAAATAAAATTCATGAAAAGAAATGAACAAAACAAAACTAAAAATAAAATTTGTAAAGTGAAAAGAATAAAACAAAATTGAGTATAAAATTCATAAAATTAATAAAACTGAAATAATAAATAGTAAAACAGAATTGAAAATAAAATTCATAAAATGAATAAAACTAAAGTAATAAATAGTTTATCAGAATTGCAAATAAAATACATGAAATAAAGTTTGTAAAACAGTGCTTTGAAAAATACATATAGATGTTACATTACCTGATGAAGATACTTTATGCAGTGTTATTGCATGTTTGATAAATAAGTGTGATACTTTTTCATGGTTATGTGTAAACGGAAAATTAATGTCCTTGGAAAACGATTATTCTTGGAAAATTCTACGGTTTCAAAGGAAACGGAAATTGGTAAGCACATAAATTGATTTGAATGATCGATTCGTGGGAATATTAAAATTACAATTAACACATTGTCCTAGAACAGTCAGAAATTTAATTTAGTCCATAAGTAACAAAGAAAATAGATTTTAATTAGTGGTGGATTAAATAAATAGAGAATATACGTATTTAAGTTAAACTTTAACGCTTGTTGTATCATACTGTGAGTATGTAAAATAGTAGATAACGAAATTACTGTATTTTGTTAAGTATAAATAAATAATTTATTTTTGTAGTTTAAGAAATTATTCAAAATTTAATATTTTGTAGTTGCACTTTCTGTGATGACTTTCTAAAATATTGTAAGACAATAGTATATTATTTTTGTATAATTTATAAATATATAAATATAGGTTGAATTTGTCGATAAATGTTCAACTTATAGATACATAAATATATGAGAAAAATTTAATTCATAAAAATAAGTTTGATTTAGAAGTACATTATTGCATAAATATAAATTTAATTTATTAGTAAGTAAAATATAATATTTTTATTTAAATCAATATTTTAACAGAAATTTTTAATAGAAATATTTGTTTACCGTTGTTGCTTTTATTAGTACAATTCATGACAGTTCAAACTACATTCCGTTTTAGAATTGAAAGAGTCATGCAACAAGGTGTTAATTACAATGGTATTAATTAAATTGAGGTATTATTGTAATGAGTATCTTTTAGTACTGTGATGAGAAAAATAACAAATATAGTATTGAAGTTGAATAATTACAAGGTACCAAAATATACAAATTTATTAATCACAGTATCTCTCAAATTATGTTTGAAAAAGATAAAAACTTGACACCAGATGTTTAACAACATAACTATATTATAAATTTATGGTAATTGTTATAATTATAGTATCGTAATTAATACTGTGCTATAATTTTATATTATACTGCACTATAATATATACTATACTATAGTGTAGTATACTATATTACATTATATTATACCACATCATACTATAAGACTATACTATACTTATATACTACACTATAAGATTAATAATACAAAATTAATACTATAGTATACTATACGAGGTGCGATCATTAAGTTCCGGGATTGTTTCTGCTGTGACCAAACGAATGACACGATTGACATGCGCTCGCAGAACATAAGAATAACAATCTTCGAGACATATGACACGAAGTTTGGAAGCGATATCTTCATTGGATCCTGTGTTATACAAGTTTATGGTAGCATACGCACGCTCTCCTTTGCGAAATCACGATGGACTCCAAATTGGAACAGAAGGACATAAAAAAAAAGAAACATGGAAAATTGTCGTACTTCCTCACCCTCCGTATTCATCAGATTTGGAACCCTGTTATTTCTTTTTGTTTCCCAAAATGAAATTAAAGCTCAAGGGTCGCCGATTTGACACGGTGGACGAGATTCAACGCGAATCGCAGCAGGTGCTTGACACGCCTCAACAAGAAGACTTCTAGAAAGCTTTCCAAAAATGGCAGAGGCTCTGGGATCGGTGCATAGCTGCACAAGGGGACTACTTTGAAGGGGATAGTAGCCAAATTTGAAACACGTGATTTTATCTGATTATACGGGACCAGTCCCGGAACTTAATGATCGCACCTCGTATGTATATCATACTATAAGACTATACTATATATACTATACTATAAGACTAATAATACAAAATTAATGCTATAACACCACTTATAGCACCTGTTGCTATTTTCACTACAATAATAATCGCATCAAAATTACAATAATCAAAATATTCAACAATCACCAAAACACCTCCTGAAAGATAACCCAAATTTTTAAGAATAGGTAAAATAAGTTTCAACCAGTTTAAACAGACTTCTTTTTATATTTAAAGCGTGCAAAGCAATAGAGTTGTATACAATATATGCTCATGAATGAGTCAACAGATGTTTAGCCATTGAATAGAATCGCATTAAACTTTTTTTCCTTTGTTAATGTCACAAGTCCCGCAGTAATAATTCAATTTATGAAACAATATTGTGCTATATTATACAAATAGTAACTTTGTATTTCCTCCGATCGAAATTTTCTGATTTGAAAAATTACAAACTGATCATAACTCCGTCTTTATACAGATATGAAATGCAATTATGCATCACAAAAAAGTGAAATACCCATTCAAATTTATGGAATAATAAATTTCAATTGCAAAGTCTGTCAGCATATTTTGTAACCGTGTGACATTTATTTAGATTACTGTTTAATTATTCATTTAATTACTTCAAATTATATTGATTTCAAATTCAATAACTTATTCTTGTTACTATTATTATTATTCACATTTTGGAACTTTTATTGGAATTATTTTGGAATATTAGGGAAGTGTACATAAATTAAAATTAATCTGTAAATACATAAAATATTAATATAAATTTATATAAATTTTATATATTCATACAAAATGAAATTGTAATAAAATTTAATATATTTTTATAGAAATATGTAAATTAATACGCGAGTTTCGTTTTGCATGAATCACATATTTTACAATTTTTAATATTCAAAAATAGAGAACTTATTATGTTTGTCACATTGAAATTCGTTTAAAATAAATAAAAGCTGTATTTCGGTCTAAAAACATTCGCAAAAATGATTATTTAGAGCAATTATACTTGCAATCGCGAAAGTATAAAACAAGCACATTAACATATATCAATATTTTGAAATGAGCAAAATGTAAAATATTGATTGAAATTATTTCGAGGAAAAAGCATCGAATATGGACTTTGGCTGCGAACATGTTGCATTTTTATTTGCATAATGATTTATTGACACAGTATCTATTTGTAAAACGAGAATATCAATATATAATGTGTACCATGAAGTATTAGATTATTGAACAACAAACTGAACATGGTTAAAAATTGAAAATTCTATAATAAACAATATCTGTCTATGAAGTTATATCGATATAGTGTTTGTATCACATTAATTTTATTTTTTCAAAAGAAAAATGTTTACATAACCTTTCATTAACATGTCTGCCACTGGGGTCACCAGTGAGCTACACCTCAAATATGATGTAACTGAATAAATAACACAAAAAAACAAGAAAATTTTAAATATTATATTATTAATTTAAAGTTATGAAAATATTAGTAATTTTAGAGATTGTTCATTTTATTAATTTTAAATTATGAAAATAATAATTTTTGACAGTATTAATATTATTAATTTTGCATTAGGAAGATATTATTCATTTTGAACATTATTAATATCATTAGTTTTCTATTATGAAAATATTATTAATATCATTAGTTTTCTATTATGAAAATATTATTAATCTCATTAGTTTTCTATTATGAAAATATTATTAATTCTGAACAGTATTAATATTATTAATTTTGCATTAGGAAGATATTATTCATTTTGAACATTATTAATATTATTGGTTTTCTATTATGAAAATATTATTAATCTCATTAGTTTTCTATTATGAAAATATTATTAATTCTGAGCAGTATTAATATTATTAATTATAAATTACGAAACTGTTATTAACGTTGAGTATTATTAATACTATTAACTTTAAATTACGAAAATATTATTACTAATATTAATGGTAACAATCTTGACATAATATTATTAATAATATTTCAACCTCTTTTATTCTTTTCTTGCTAATTATTCAATGACAGTTTAAGTATTAACAAAACCAAATAGTAATACACTGAAATAACATAAGAGGTTAGGTTCAATAAAAGTTACAAATAAAAATAATTCAATTCGTACAAATTATCCTACACGTTCAAATAATCGAAAAAATACATAAATAATCTATAATTACCATAACTAAATTACTATACTAACTACTAATTTATTAAATACCTTCCATTACATGTTTCATTACGCTCGCAACAAAATGGCTGCAACGAAATGAAAATGACAATGAATTAGAATAAACGTGTCTACTCTTACACAACGTTACAGTAATTACATTTAATAAAAAACGAATATTGACTTACTTCTAACAAAAATTTGAATTAAAAAACGTCAGTCATATCACACAAGTGTAATTAATTCATTATATAACAAATTCAACCGGTTAATAATGTATTATAGATAGAAAAACTAACATCAACAGCTGTTATGAAATAAATAATTTCGCGAAACATTATACGAACTTAAAAAAGAGTTACAATTAAGAATTACGTGTTGACATTTTTATTAGCATTTTTTGTTTCGTATTATGTGCTTTGATGATCGTACATTATTTTTTAACCACGTTGCTCTTGTATTACGTACTCAATTACAATTCGCAAAAAAGAGAACAAGTAGGAATATTTTCATTTTTCTTAATTATAAATGATCGAGTTTATTATTAAGTAATAAATGTCCGACGAGAGATAAATGTTCGACTTGTATGAAGTAAGTGTCGCTGACAATAAAGTACATTAAGCTAATCTGCCTTCGATAGGAAAATTATGACTTCCTGTTCATTGATTTCTAGGGATTTATGAAAATTTGAAAAATTGGGAAATAAATCAAGTTTGGGGATATGGAATGGAGTGGTCTTGGATGTAGAAGTTTTTTAGTTACAGGACTTTGCTATGTGACAATTTTTAGGGACTTGGTGATTTAAGGATTTAGGGAATCATAAATTTGGAGACGTAGAAATTTGAGAATATAGGAATTGGAAAAAATAGAATATAGGAATACAGGAATATAGAATGTAGGATATTCCTATATGGAATATAGAAATTTGTGAATACAAGTATTTGAGAAATTTAGAATTTGAAAACATTGAAATTTGGGAATCTAGGGATGTAAAAATCTAGAAATTCAGAAACCTGAAAATTTGGAGACGTAGGAACTTGAGAATCCAGGGATTTGGAAAACTAGAAATTTGTTAATACTAATATTTCAGAATTATAAAATTTGCAAATATTGAGTTTTAGGAATCTAGAGTTATGATATTCTAGGGATTTGGAGAACTGAAATTTTGTAGAGATAGGAATTTGAGGATCTAGGGATTTGAAAAACTAGGAATTTGTCAATACAAGTATTCGAGAATTTTAGAATTTGAAAACATTGAAATTTGGGAATCTAGGGATGTAAAAATCTAGAAATTCAGAAACCTGAAAATTTGGAGACGTAGGAACTTGAGAATCCAGGGATTTGGAAAACTAGAAATTTGTTAATACAAATATTTGAGAATTATAAAATTTGCAAATATTGAGTTTTAGGAATCTAGGGTTATGAGAATCTAGGGATTTGGAAAACTGAAATTTTGGAGAGATAGGAATTTAAGGATCTAGGAATTTGAAAAACTAGGAATTTGTGAATACAAGTATTTGAGAATTATAAAATTTGCAAACATTGAGATTTATGAATCTAGAAATGTGGGAGTCTAAGAATTTGGAGACCTACAAACTTGGGGATGTAGGAATTTGGAGATCTAGGGATTTAGACAATTAAGAATTTGAAATAATATTCAACTTATAATTAATATAAATTTTTGTTTAAACAAAAATAAAAGTTAGTACAAATTATAATTAAAAATTAATATATGAAATGTTATTTAAGTATTAAAAAGGTTAGTTACTTAAGTTACCGCAAAAAATATCATACATGTATGTGCATACATATATTCTGAAGAATATGTCACAAGCATTGTAGAATGCAAGGAACAAAAAAGTCTGTTCCTAGAAAATATTGAAATTCATTTCTATTTTTAAGAATCTTCCAAGAATTTTCCGACAAGTAAATAATATTCATGATTTGCTGGAACATTACAAAAAAGTTCTACAGAATGCAAATTTATTGGTCGAGTATAGGGTATGGAAATGTGACAGACACAACTGTTTCTAATGAATCAATACACATACTTTATGACAAATAACTTTTTTGATCACAGACAACAGTATAAATATCACAGTAAATGTATATTAACAGACTAATGATCTAATTACTATAAAACATGATCGGAATAATATATTTTGTTATGTTGTATAAATATCTCCATATTTCTGGTGCAAGAAAATGTACATTTATGCAATTATTATTTAATTAATGAAATATTTAGGAAAAGAAGAAAAATTGAGAAATTTAGGAAAATGTAGATGTCGGACTTCAGAGATTTAATTTTTTTTTAATTTATTTTAGAAATTTGGGATTTTCGTAATTTAGGATTTTGGTAATTTAGGAATTTAAAAATTTCAGAATGAAGAAGATAGGAAAATAAAACTTTCAAACTTTCAAGTCTTCAAGTCTTCAAGTTTTCAAGTCATGTTTTCAAGTTTTCAAGTTGTCAAGTTTCCAAGTTTTCAAGTTTTCAAGTTTTTAACTTTTCAAGTTGTCAAGTTTTCATGTTTTCAAGTTGTCAAGTTGTCAAGTTGTCAAGTTTTCAAGTTGTCAAGTTTTCAAATTTTCAAGTTATCAAGTTTTTAACTTTTCAAGTTTTCAAGTTTTCAAGTTGTCAAGTTTTCAAGTTTTCAAGTTTTCAAGTTGTCAAGTTTTCAAGTCTTCAAGTCTTCAAGTTTTCAAGTCATGTTTTCAAGTTTTCAAGTTGTCAAGTTGTCAAGTTGTCAAGTTTCCAAGTTTCCAAGTCTTCAAGTTTTCAAGTTTTCAAGTCTTCAAGTCTTCAAGTTTTCAAGTCAAGTTGTCAAGTTTTCATGTTTTCAAGTTGTCAAGTTGTCAAGTTTTCAAGTTGTCAAGTTTTCATGTTTTCAGGTTGTCAAGTTGTCAAGTTTTCAAGTTTTCAAGTTGTCAAGTTTTCAAGTGGTCAAGTCTTCAAGTGGTCAAGTCTTCAAGTTTTCAAGTGATCAAGTCTTCAAGTCTTCAAAGTCTTCAAGTTTTCAAGTCTTCAAATTTTCAAGTTTTCAAATCTCCAAATTTCCTACCTTCACATATTCCAATTACCAAATGAAAAGTATTACAGTTCCAAAGTATCCAAATTTCCAAATCTAGAGCCTTGACAACATTTAAAAAAAGATACACAAATATAAAAATATTTAAAAAAAAACTTCATAACTCCCATAATTTGAAATATGAACTCAATGCGTCATTTTGACACGTACCATAAAATTCAGCCGCAGTACATAAAATAAATCCCAATCAGCGATACAGAGAGTGTCCTTCACTAAAATTGCAAATTTCACGCATTTAAAAAGTTTCGCATGATTGAATCTCAGTCATGACATGTCAGAATGTGTTTGCACACAGAGTCACCTGTAATCACAATAACCCGAGTCGTACATTTGAATCGCAAATGACGAACTGTTTTTTCGCGATTCTATGCTCTTAAGAAAACAAAGGGAAACGGATCAATGTCGGGGTTGACCTAACTTCCGTTTAATGATTATATGCTAGAAATACAAATGATATGCCTTCGATAGTGTGCAATTATTATGGTTATTTTTTTAAAACGGAGGTGAAGTCTGTGTAGTGCATAACAGGTGTCAGAAAAAAGTGTCTATATAGATATATTCGTATTGTTACGGGAAACAGTGCATTTTGTTGAATTCATGAATAATATTTGTTATTTAATTTGTTCGTTATTCATTTTAAACGGAGTTAATTTTTTGTAATAGAACTATTGTAAGGATAAAAGAATGTGGAGGTTAAATTTTAAGTATAATAGGAGAGTGTTGTTAAGGTTTTGAAGAAAGTTCGTGTTTCAAAGGTTAAAAGTAAGGTTAGAATTCTGGAGGTTGTAAGGAAGGTTAGTACAAGAAAAACTACAAGATTTCCAAAGATTATAAGTAATGTTAGTATTTCAAAGATCATAAAGAAGGTTACTATTACAAAAATCATAAATAATATTACTGTTTGAAAATTTTGTAAGTAAAAATAATATTTGAAACAATATATAAGTACAATTAGTATTCCAAAGATTACATGTAAAATTAATGTTAGAAAAATCATAAGTAAGGTTAGTATTGAACATTTTGTAAGCAGGCAATATTCAAGACATTATAAGTAAAATTACTATTTCACAAATTACAAGTAAAATTAATCTTTCACAAATTACAAATAAACTTAATATTGTAAAGATCATAAAATTATCGAATTATGAGTAAAATTACAAATGATCGTAAGTAAGGTTAGGTCAGTATTGCGAAACAAATATATAAAATTATTACAAAGAATAAAATATCAATACCACAAAGTTTCTCAAATAATCCTAATATTGAAGATATCACAAATAAATTTAGTATTTCAAATAAATATTATGAGTATTTCATAATAAATAAAATTAGTACTAAAAATATCGTAACTAAGGTACGCAAAATATCAAAATAAGAGTTTAATCATAAAAATAAATAAAAATCATATTGTTAATAATTAGTTTCCCTATATGTCTTACGTATCCGTTTTCACTCGAGCAATCATATTAAACACAATTTCAATATTGAAACTGTTTGTGAACAATACAGAAAGGAAACAAAGAAGGAACTCGAAAGCAATTTTAAAATGAAAAAACGTACAAAAAACGACCTGATTTTACAACGAACAGTTGTACAAATGACGTGAAAAACGTCGATCAAACAGCAAAACAATCTGTGTGTGAAAAACAAAACACGCATTGAATAAATTCAAGCATCTGCCAATTTAATTCCGAACGTCGTTCACATTTTAAAATGTACGTTGAATGAATTTTTCATTGTATTAAATTATTGCGAATAATACCTTAACTCGAAAATTGTGCTCGTACTTCTGTAAAATTTTTAACAAATTCAATTAAATGGCAAATTATTTGCAAACTGGAACGTTAATTATATTCACATTGAAACGTTAAATAAAATTTTATCGGTATATAAAATGGGAGTGCTGACATTTTTGCGCTTGATAATTAAATACACAACAATTAATAAGATGAAACAGAAAGTTATTTGCAAACTGAAGAGTTGATTATATTCGTATTATACACGTATTCATATAAATACACAGAATTGTATCTTTACTCAAAATGAAAATGCACAGTGCATCTTGCTAGTTGAATTAGTAATTATAATTAGTAAGATGAAACATAAAATTATTTGCAAACTGAAGAGTTGATTATATTCATATTACACACATATTTGTATAAATACACAAAATTATATCTTTATTCAAAATGAAAATGCAGAATGCATCTTGCTAGTTGAATTAGTAATTATAATTAGTAAGATGAAACATAAAATTATTTGCAAACTGGAAATGTGATTATATTCATATTATACACGTATTCATATAAATACACTAGAAATAAGCAGTGATATTTACGACTGCTCCCGCGAGACATCTCTCGGGGCACGCGCAGTGAAATAAAATACACAGAATAAAAAGTTCGAACTTATATTGTTATTTCAACCCGAGCATCCCCACCGTTAACGTGATCCTCATGCTGATTAGTTTCTTCTAGCAGAAAACTAGGACTCGCATAAAACGGAGTTTCCAACGTAGACAAATTCGGCAATTTATTTCCACTTTTTACCATGAACTTACAGACTTCTAATTTTGCAGGGTACCTAAATCGAGCGAAGTAATGACGAGAAGCTGACTAACGATGAGATGAGCAGCAATCCGAAAAATGACAGCGTACCACAAGTCACCAGCGGATATTCCCTGGATCGTGTTACCAGCCTGCGACAATCTAACCTCAGGACATTCCCGCCTTGACCTGCCCCTTCAACCTGATCACAACATCAGCGAACTTGATCAATTGTTCCACATAGAAACACTCAACGTAACATGTCTGGAACACGCTCCGCAATTGACGAACGCCACCTTTCTGAAAGTGATCGTCCTCGCCGTCATGGCGTGCCTAAGTTTTGTTGCGAACGTGGCGACTATTTGGTCGATCGCGAGAAATCGACGGAGACAACACAGCTGGTCAGCGATTTATACGCTGATTCTGCATTTGGCAGTCGCCGATTTACTCGTCACGGTGTTCTGCATTGGAGGAGAGGCTATGTGGAGCTACAGCGTTCAGTGGATATGGGGAAACTTGGCGTGTAAGATGTTCAAGTTCTTACAGGTGTTCAGCTTGTACCTGAGCACGTTCGTGCTGGTGCTGATCGGGGTGGACAGGTTCGTGGCGGTTAGATATCCTATGAAGGGACTCAATACTGCGCATAGGTGTATCAGATTGGTCGCTGTCGCGTGGATATTGTCTTTCGTCTTGGCTACTCCTCAGGTAAGTTTCGCCCCTTGACTTGTGACATCGAATCATACTTGTGACGCATATCACAGTTCATAGGTTAAGAGGTTGAAAGAACTTGGAGATTTATGCACGAGTGGGATTTTTTAGGATAGGGATGATTTATGGAATAATAAGAATTCTTAATATAATAAGAATTCCTGTAATGTAATGTAATGAGAATTCCTTAACTTCTTATATTAGGGGTACCGAAAAGTAATCAAAATTTCATCGATGATTTCGAAGTTTTTCTATGAAAAATCGAAGGACTTTTTTAGGAAGGGAACAATTGCCTTTACGCTGGCAAAAAGCGTTAGAAAGTGATGGAAATTATTTTGTTGATTTTTCGCCAGCTAGAAAAATTTTGATTACTTTTCGGAACCCCTAATATTACCAAATCCCTAAATCCCGAAATCCCTAAACTCTAAATCCTTGAATCCTTAAGTTCCAAACTCCACAAATCGTCAAATTCTAGAATGCAAAAATCTCTAAATTTCCAAAGTCGCAAATTCCAAAATTCCCAAATCCCCGAATTTCCTAAATTTTCAGACATCTGATTTTGTAGATCTCCAAATTCCTAACTCTCAAAACACACAAACTCTCAAATTTCCCTCCCCCTAAGTACCTGCGTCACCAATCTTTTAAACACCAAAATTCACTATACTTTGCTATCAGCCAAAATTCTCCAAATTCTAATAAAGCAACAGGTACAATAATCAAAACCAATCACATTTTGCGAATTACTTCGCTACAATAATTACAACCGCAATTACTACAATAATTACGACTATTACAATAATTGCAATAATAACAATAATTATTCAAGCTTCAACGAAATCTGCATTCGACAAATTTACGCAATACGTGAAATGACATTATAATTAATATATTTTTGTGTCAATACAAATTTCATTTAAGTAATTCTCCATTTTTCATTCACCATATTTATACAAAGTTTAATAACAAGTATTTTTAACATTATAAAATATATCAATTCGTGATATGACAATCGTTAGGAACTGCTTCCACGGGAACGATATTCACGTACGAATTCAAACGAACTTCGGAAAATTCGTCTACTCGGAGCCAAATGAGAAGTTCGATCCGTGAAACCAACCAGTTGAGTGGCTCGTTCCCTCGCAATTAAAAACCAATTTATAGCAGCTGACATTCGGTTGCCAGCAGAAATCCGACGAATACTTTCGCGAATAAATTAAAAGTTCCCCTGGTTCCTGCTTGTCCTTCTTTTTTCTTTAAATAAATGTCGAGGACGTACAGAGGATGAAAAAAGTAGAGGTGCATTTTGCTTCTCTGTCATTACATCATCTAAGTTTATTGCAATGCGATTATCGCAAATATTTTGTATAAGACTTGATATGTAGATAGATTTGAAGATTTGAGAATTTGGGGATTAAGGATGTATGGAATTAGTGATTTCATGATTTGAAGATTTGAGAATTTGGGGATTAAGGATGTATGGAATTAGTGATTTCATGATTTGGGGATTTGGGGAGTTGGGGAGTTGGGGATTTGGGGATTTGGGGATTTAGGGATTTGGGGATTAGGGGATTTGGGGATTTGTGGATTTGAGGATTTGGGAGTTTGGAATTATGATAATTTAGGGATTTGGAGATTTGGGGATTTGGGAATTTCGGAATTTGGGGATTTGGGGGTTTGGGGATTTGGAGGTTTTAGGGTCTTGGGGTATTGGGATTTTGGAATCCTGAGATTTTGAGAATTTTGATATACGACAATTTTGAGATTTGGGAATTTAGAGATTTAAAGATTTGGAGATTTGAGGCTTTAGAAATTTGCAAATTTGGCGATTTGGGGATTTAGTAAATTAGGAAATTAGGAAATTGGGAAATTGGGGAATTGAGGAATTGGGGAATTGGGGAATTGGGGAATTGGGGAATTGGGAAATTAAAAACTTGGAATATTGCGAAATTAGGATATTGGGAAATTGGGAAATTGGGAAATTGGGAAATTGGGAAATTGGAAAATTGGGAAATTGGGAAATTGGGAAATTGGGAAATTGGGAAATTGGGAAATTGGGAAATTGGGAAATTGGGAAATTGGGAAATTGGGAAATTGGGAAATTGGGAAATTGGGAAATTGGGAAATTGGGAAATTGGGAAATTGGGAAATTGGGAAATTGGGAAATTGGGAAATTGGGAAATTGGGAAATTGGGAAATTGGGAAATTGGGAAATTGGGAAATTGGGAAATTGGGAAATTGGGAAATTGGGAAATTGGGAAATTGGGAAATTGGGAAATTGGGAAATTGGGAAATTGGGAAATTGGGAAATTGGGAAATTGGGAAATTGGGAAATTGGGAAATTGGGAAATTGGGAAATTGGGAAATTGGGAAATTGGGAAATTGGGAAATTGGGAAATTGGGAAATTGGGAAATTGGGAAATTGGGAAATTGGGAAATTAGGAAATTGGGGAATAGGGATTTTGGAAATTTGGAAATTTGGAAATTTGGAAATTTGGAAATTTGGAAATTGGGAAATTGGAAAATTGAAAAATTGACAAATTGACAAATTGAGAAATTGAAAAATTAAAAAACTTAAAACTGAAAACCTGAAAAATTGCAAAATTTAACCTGGTTATCTACTTCGAATCCAGTACCTCAAAAATTAAAAAATTCATAAATCATCATACATCAAATCTTGAAATCCCTCTGAAATAGTTTTAAATTATAATGCCAATCAGTGCATACATACTATAATCATATTACACATCCTACAGAATTAGCACAATATGCCGAAGTACACACTATGACAATATTTCAATCAAAAGTGACGATTAATTCAACGAACCTAGGTGTGTCAACACTTCTTCGACCGAGAATGTAAATAATTTTCACATAACAGCCGTTGCTAAATAACAAGTAATTACGTTACATCGGTAATCATAGAAAAGCTAATCCATTAGTATAATACCGAGACAGATGTCGAGACGAAAAAAAAATGTCACGGAAACCAGTTTCTCTGCTCCGTTTTGTTTTTTCCCCGAACAACTTAGCATTTATCGAACTCCACGCTTAATTAACGCATTCGGTACGCTAATTTAAAATATCCTCGTTAACCTTACCGAGGTTCTTACTTAACGGTAAGATAATTTTTCAATGTAGCTGGATAGCTTCCAATTGCCTGCTCATCGTCCGGATTAATTAAGTTCGTTTCGTGAACCGTTTTATGGATTATTCGAACACGATAAACCTGCGAGTGTGTGAATATTTATAACCGGGTCTTCGGTTTCAATTGGTCTTTTGTTAACGCGTTTTTTCGATAAATTCGTTCAAGAATAAAAGAAAATATTTTATAAAATATTCTATGGAATATTTCATAAATTATTCTACTTTTTAGAAAATATTTTATGGAATATTTTGTGAAATATTTTTCTCCTATAACGTATGTATAATAGAATATAAATTACATTTGATGTGAAGTTTATTAAATGGAGTTTATTAATGAAGACGAAAATTTTGCGAGGAATTTTCTTAATTAATTTTGGAGGGATCTAAGACTGCTTCAGGAAGAAATTTCTTAAAGGGGTTTTATGGAGATACGTGAATTTCATAAAGAAATTGATCATATTAATTAATTCTTGTACTGAATAGGTTTTATGAGGGAACAACAAAACATGATAAAGAAATTAATTATGTACATTAATTTTTATATTTTTAATAAATTAACTTCATGAAGAATGAATGACATTTTATAAAAATTTTATAACATATTAACAAATATGTACATAAAGAATAACTTTATAAATCAACTTTTCTATGAAATAAATTTTATAAAAAATGAACGAAATTTTATAAACAAATAATTTTTATAAATTCATTATTGTACTAAATAGATTTTACGAAGAAATTAAACCATTCTATTAAAAGATCATTTTTACAAGTCAACTTTTACATAAAATAAATTTTATAAAGAATAAATAAAATTCTTGAAAGAAATTTGTATAATATATCTTTTATACTAAATTAATTTTCTAAAGAAGCAAAACAGTTCTACGAAGAACTTAATTTTATAAATTAGTACGTATATTAAATAAATAGACTTTACTACGAAAGAAAAATATTTTATGCAGAAATTAATTTTATAAATAAATCTGTGTATTATGCAAATTGATTTTATTGTATTCTCAGAATATTCAAATCGTTTTAATAACTGTATTATACTTTTTCAGCGTTTCGTTTCGACAATGTGTAACTCAAAGGATTAACCCGTTTTAAACAAAATTTAATTAAACATGAAATTCCATTGAAAAAGGAAACTTTTATGTACATAAAAATATTCAAGTATTAAAAATCCAATATGGTAACGAATAAAGTAATATTCTCTGTTTATCACAGTTCTAAATCATTTTTAAAATCGAATTTTATCAATTTGTTGTTTGGAGAATTACATTTTCAATAAAATGGGAGAAAATGTGACATAAAAATATTCTTGTACTGAATATTCAGTACGTGATCTGATTAATTCTGTATTTCATGAAATTTTATATTTGAAAAAACTTTTAACAATTTTACTGATTCATAATTTGAAGATTGAACAGTATTTTATAGAAAATTTAATTAACCACTAAAGTTATATAGACGCTTTAATTAACTGTTTCGTTTCACAGAATTTCAGAGGCCTTTAATAATTTCGTCAATATTGATTATTTAAAAATTTAATTACATTTTAATTAAAACTATTGAAATATCAAATTTCGTGCCTTTAAGCTTTTCTGCTTAATGCGGAAATAAATATATCGTAAATTTAATATATTTATTATAGTATACATATATGTACATGTATACATATACTGTTATACTATACATATGATTATACCATATAATATACATGTACAGGGAGTCTCACAATTAGTGAAGGTCCCTGTAATGGGGGGTAGCTGACGTGATTCTGAGCAAGATTTCCCTTTGCAAAAATAGGGTTTGAAGCTTCGTTCTTGAATTATTAAGGAAAAACGCGGACCAATCAGAGCGCAAGGATTACTACGCGTTGGATTATTACGCGTTGGATTACTACGTGTTGGATTACTACGCGTTAAATCACCACGCGCTAGACTCCTATGCTTAGAATTACCACGCGTTGCATTACTATGCGTTGGACTTATACGCGTTGAATATCCACGCGCTGGATTACTACGCGTTAGATATCCATACGCTGGTTTACTACGCATTAGATTACGACGCATTAGATTCCTACGCTTAGAATTACCACGCGTTGCATTATTACGCGTTGAATTACTACGCGTTGAATATGCACGCGCTAGATTACTACGCGTTGGATATCCACACGCTGTATTACTACGCGTTGGATTACTACGCGTTGGATAACTACGCGTCAAATTACCACGCGTTAGATTCCTACGCTTAGAATTACCATGCGCTGAATATCCACGCGCTGGATTACTACGCGTTAGATATCCACACGCTGGATTACTACGCGTTAGATTACGACGTATTAGATTCTTACGCTTAGAATTACCACACGCTGCATTATTACGCGTTGAATTACTACGCGTTGAACATGCACGCGCTAGATTATTACGCGTTGGATATCCACACGCTGTATTACTACGCGTTGAATTACTACGCGCAGGATTACGACGCGTTGCATTACTACGCGTCGGATTACCACGCGTTATCCGAAACTACCGCTCTCGCGTCTGCGCATGCGTAATCCTCGCGCTAATTGGTCCGTGTTTTTCCTTAATAATTCAAAAACGAAACTTCAAACCCTATTTTTGCAAAGGGACATCTTGCTTAAAATCACGTCAGCTACCCCCCATTTCAGGGACCTTCACTAATTGTGAGATACCCTATATATTTATTATACTGTACCTATAGTATACACATAGTATATTATACATGCTTGATAATTCAAAAACGCAGCTTCAAACCTCATTTTTGCACAGGAAAATCTTGTTCAGAATGGCATTCTCTACCACCCCTTTCAGGGAGTAACACTAGTTGTGAGACATCCTGTAGTATATTCCCTGGCCATCGCATTAGGACCACATACGAAAATTTCACTTTTATGGCTAATAACGTTATGTCATATACGAAAAATTGTCTTGGGTCATGCAAATTATTACTAAATACGTTAATATCGATATATGTATACATAGCAATTTGTTATCGTGATAATAAATTGTGTGGGTGATGAGCGATTAAGGGCCGCTCGAGCGTTTACGTTAGGCTCAAGTATCGATAGCGCGTCAAGTGAAATTTGAATGCCATAGAAAATGTCTGCCTACTCAAAAGACTAGTTTACAACTCTCCAACATTATCTGAGTTGAAAAGAATTACAGATATTTGGGAAAATGAAGATATAAAGCATATGATGTATACGGAGCATGCTGCTGTGACCAAAGGAAAGGAAATACAAGATATTAACATATGTTAATAATGTTATGTACAGTATTTATGTTAGTAGCTAATATCATTACAATTTGAACATTTTATGAAAAACATGAAAAAAACTGAAAATTTATAGTGGTCGATGGACAACTGCATTTACGATACGTCATAAAAACCTTTGTTATAAATTTTTTCACCAGTCAAAATTTGTCGACAAACGATGAATTTCATAGGTTATTATTAAAATTGGCTAATGGAAATGAAATGAAACAGTTTTGCACAATTTGGTGTACTAAATTGTTCCGGTTTGAAATAAAACCCAGAAATTGAAAATTTAATATTCGATACAAATCTCTTTGATGAGCATCACGGCAGTTTTTCGTTACCGTAATTAATAGTCGTAATTAATCCAATTATCCGTGGTCCGTGATTAATTCAAACGGATTACAGAGAAGGTTTCGTTTAATTTCGCGTCAATTAAGATCCCTTTTTCATTGCGACGGATTAACGATTATTTTTTCTGGTCTTGTGTGCCCTTTAAACTGCAGTGCTCATTCTCGTACATTTAATATCATTTTGCACTGACAGCTTTTCATGGACGCAGACATTCTCGTTGTAATATAATAAGAAAGATATTAAATTTAAAAAGTGAAGCTAATTGGAAAATATCTTGGCAGTTTGCAGCATCTTGGCGAAGGACGTTGAATGGAAGATGGCGGATGTAGGTCATTTTTGTGAATTAACGGAATTATATTGTAATTAAGGGTTAGAAGTTTTGAAATTGAGGAATTTTTTAAATTCTTAGATTTTGAGATTGAAAGTTTGTCGATTTTTCATTTTGAGATTGGAAACTTTTCAAATTCTTACATTTTGAGATTGAGAATTTGTCGTTTTTTATATTTTGAGGTTGGGAATGTTTCAAATTTTTATTAAAGATTTGTTCAATTTTTCAAAGTTCCAAATGGGGAATTTTGTTAATTTTCAAACTAAAAATATTTTAAATCTGCAAATTTTCAAATTGACAAATTAAATAACATATGAACTAGGAAGTTTCCAATGTAATAGATTTTTAAATTCAGAAACTTTCAAAAACAATTATCGAATTTACGAATTCAGCAATTTAGAAATTTAGAAGCTGTCTCCACCACAAATGCTAAAAGGAAAATATTTTCAAGTTCCTAAATTCAGCAAAGTGAAATAGAAAAATCGTAATAAAAATCATTGAAACTCAAACTGAAAAATTTGTACATGTTTACTTCCAAAAATATCGTTACAATTATAATTCTCAAACCTGGACAATACAGTATGTATAAAGCGTAACATGCACTTGAAGAGACACGTGTCTATATAAAATAATAAAAATTAGTAATAGAAAGTCACACTTGATAATTATATAAATACGTCCAAAAATAATCCTTCGATAAATTTTCCACGATGAGATGTCGATTTTTGAATCCTTCTTTGACGATAATTTAATGAGTTCGACGACTAGGCTAATTACTCTTGCTGTGCTGCAAAACACAAAAATCAATTAGAATAGAAAAAATATTTTCTTAATCCTTTATTACACTGTGTTACGTTATATAAAATAATTAATCAATACAAGTATTCTAACAAATTCCTTATTTTTTACATAAATATCCTACATAAGTCTCAAAAATATTTTTCTCTTCTATAATTATAATTTCTTTCATATTCATATAACATTACAGGAATTGATGAATTTGGAATTCAAATGCAAAATTATAGACGTCACAACTAGAGTAATGGATTTAGAAAAAGACAATAAAAAATGCACGTCACACGGCAACTACATTGTAGGTTAGAAACCACTTATCATAATTTATCATAAGTGACCCTCACATTTTATCCTCATCATAATTATCGAAACCACTTTTCTCCTTTTCAATCACAATTTGTCACACATTTACGTAATCATACAAAATAGGAGTTTATGAATTATTAAAATTGAAATGCTAAATTACAGACGTCATTCCAACTAGAGCAACCGAGTTAAAAACAAACTAATTTATAACTATGAATCTAATTTCTGTACATTAACAAATTTATTTTATGCACAAAAATTATTTATTGTAGATATAGACTGAAATTTCGAGAGGATATACAGAGTGTTACCTGTAATGCTACTCACGATTTTTCTCCCACTTGCAGTCACTTTACGAAAGAAAGTTTAGGACAACATTTGCAGGGTATGAAATGCACAATAAATCTTAGTAAAGCAAATTTTGAAAATAGTTTGTTTTCTTGGCAAAATTAAGGTCACCTTGGGTTTTTTAAATAGGAACGTACATTTTTTGTATTCATTGCTTTAGAAGACATCGAGACGAATTCAAAACACATATTACATGATATTTTTATTAACATATTACTCGATTTACCTCCATTCTTATCTCCATCGAGGGAACCTAAACATCTACCAACAGTTTACAAACACTTGAAACATATCGAAGAACCCTCTGAATATGTTCTGCACCATAGAAATGAAACACAGTAGAAATTAAAATTTTTTTTAGAATCGAAAGCGTTTCATTAGATTCACAAATTTGGACTTTGTACTTCTGGACATGAATTTTACTTTCACACTTTCATTGTATAATTTGTACTTAAAAATTAATTCTATTACGTTATGACACCTCAAAAAAGATAATAATAATTATTACAAATGATATGATAACCCTAAATACCTTTCGTACAAAGTTCAACTATGTTTTATGTAACGAAACCGAGTGTCCGGATACTTATGGACGATAGTGTATGTTCCTATTTAAAAAAACCCAAGGTGACCTTAACTTTGCCAAGAAAACAAACCATTTTCAAAATTTGCTTTACTAAGATTTATTGTGCACTTCATACCCTGCGAATGTTGTCCTAAATTTTCTTTTGTAAGGTGGCTGCAAGTGGAAGAAAAATCGTGAGTAGCGTTACAGGTAACACTTTGTATAATGATTGTAGAACAGATCGATTTATTGTTGAGCAAAATTGAAAAAGTCGTGCAACGAAGGATTAAACCGCAACCGCTAATCCTTGCAACTTTGTTTCCCAACTTTTTGATCTTTTTGCTTCAGCAAATTTCATCCACCACGCCTACCCAGCTTTTCCCATTTTTCATTCTCAACAAACGCTCTTCCCGCGAATTTCTTGCTAATTACGCTCGTCACAGTTTTCCTTCTACTAAATTTCTTCCATCCCGTGCAAACCCGCTTCATCAGTCCAACAAAATAAATTACAGTTACCCGGATAAATTGCTGCTACTTCGAGCTCTGCATTGTCACCCCCGCGAGATTAACGCTCGCGCTACTTATCCCCTAACCCCCGTGCGATTTTTATCGAAGAAACAATCATCGGAATCGTTTGTTCTAACAGGGAACACTTGCTCCCTTTGAAGTCTGTTATTCGGCAATTGAGCTAAGTGTATTTTTATTTGTCGATCTTTCTGAGTTTAAAAATTACTCATTTTTGGTAGCGATTTTTGTGACACATTTCAGTGACACTTAACAATTCAATAACTACAAAATTTAAAAGTTCAACCATTCGAAATCTATTAATAACAAAATAAAGAATTTCAGAAATGTAGAAATTCATAAATGTTCCAAAATTTTTTAACTCAAAAATTTAAAGATTTAATAACTTAAAAGGTACAAATTACAAATATTCTAAGTATAAATAAACTAGTCCCAAGATTTATAACCTACCGTATAAAAGTTTACTGCGCGTTTCTAATCAGCTATGGAGGATAATGTAGTCACAGAACTACGCTCGCTGGCCTCATAAGCTTCAAGTGGCAATTCTATCGATTTGTTCTTTTGCGTATCGTCAGCGGATCGAGGTGTTATGACTCGTCTCGCTCGACGCATGTCTCGTCTGCTTCCCACTTTGCATCTGCACTTCCTCTTCCTCCTGCGCCTTCGTTTCCTCTTCTTTTTGCATCTACAGAACTTCCGCTTTCTCCTCCTCCTCCTCCTCCTTCGTCTGCGTCGTTTCTTGCATTTACAACCCATTTTCCTCTGCAGCTTCGATTTGCGACAAACGTCCAGCAGATTCACCTCCTGCTCCGCGATCTCTTGCAGCTTCATCTCGCTGCTGGTTGGCAGGATGTAATTGCCGCCATTTTTCTTTAGGATTCCATAAGCAACGCCGCGCTTCAATGCTGTTAGCGTCTGAAAATATGTGGTAATATATTGCGTTATTTATTTATTAAATAAATACAAATGCAATTACATTTTGTTGAAAATATTAATTCTAAAATTACCATATGGAAATGACGGATTCATAGGTTTTTTACTTTAGATTACAGAATTTGATAAATACTGTACTTGTTTATTTATTCGCTTAATTAGATCTGTAATGTTTTATTGGTAGTTCATACTCGAGTGATACTATACAGATTAAATCTAGAATTAGATTATGATTCGGTTTGGATGAGGTTGTGGTCAAATTACGATTGGGATAGGGTTAGGCTAGGATTAAAATACCGTTATTGGCTTTGGTTAGGCTAGTACACGACAAGGGTAATTAGACTAGACAAGTGTATCGCAAGATTAGATTAGATTAAGCTAGTGTATGATAAGGTTAAATTAAATTAGGTTAGTGTATGACAAGGTTAAATTAGATTAAGCTAGTGTATGACAAGGTTAGATTAGATTAGACTAATGTAGATTAGATTAGATTAAACCAGTGTGCAATTAGATTAGTTTAAATTAGGCTAATGCAGGACTAGGTTAGGTTAATTTAGGCTAGTGAATGAGAAGGTTAGATTAAATTAGACTAATGTAGATTAGATTAGATTAAACCAGTGTGCAATTAGATTAGTTTAAATTAGGCTAATGCAGGACTAGGTTAGATCAATTTAGGCTAGTGTATGACAAGGTTAGATTAAATTAGACTAGTGTATGACTAGGTTAGATTAAATTAAGCTGGTGTATGACAAAGGTTAGATTAAATTAGACTGATGTAGACTAGGTTAGGTTAGATTAAAACAGTATGTAATTAGATAAGTTTTGATTACGCTAGTGCATGACTGGATTAGGTTAATTTAGGCTAGTGAATGACGAGGTTAGATTGAATTAGGCTAGTGTATGGCAAGGTTAAATTAGATTAAGCTAGTGTATGACAAAGGTTAGATTAGATTAGACTGATGTAGATTAGATTAGATTAAACCACTGTGTAATTAGATTAGTTTAAATTAGGCTAATGCAGGACTAGGTTAGGTCAATTTAGGCTAGTGAATGACAAGGTTAGATTAAATTAGGCTAGTGTATGACTAGGTTAGGTTAAATTAAACCAATGTATGAATGTGTTTGATTATATTAAGCTAGTATATGACTATGGTAGATTAAATTCGACTACTTAAGTTGATAAGATTTCGATGTGTTATCAGTGCGGATGTAAACTTGAGGTATGTTTCCTTTTGAGTACGTTAGAAAACAATTTTTGTTACAACCTCCGTTATGTTAACATGTATAATATTAATAAATAACAACTTATTAATGCTCTAATCATGAAGAAGACTAACCTGACGACGTGCCGTATCTGGAGCAATATTATGAACATTTGAAATATAATGCAGAATTTCTTTCGAGCTTGAGCCTTTCAGCTCACGGAGGTTCCTGATAGCCGAGATGATCAGCATGAGAGTTTTAGCAGAATCGTTCACCATGGCGGTATCGTCTTCGAACTATACCAAGAGTATAAATATATTAGAAACAGTACTGAATACTATCTCGAAATAGTACTTTGAGAAATGCAGTTTTCATTAACTTTTGAATGACTCATACCGGATCATTTAAAACTCGGTCTTTCATTTATCTTGTATCTGTTTAATTAGACATGTCGCTTAAATGACATTCGGAAAACTATGTAACAATCCAAAAAAAGATCTCGTATAATGCAACCATTAATCAATCGGATGATGTGCAATTTGTGTTGCACACTCGATGAGGAGAAATTAAGTGAACTGTTGTAATTAATGAAAAATTACTCTGTACAAAATAATTAGCTACCTATTGGAAAGAGCTGTCATTTTTTACTCGGATATTTACATTCTGGCTTCATTTGTAATATCGATCATTATTCACAGGTTGTCATAACTTGTACACGTGTAATCGCTTCTTTATAGTTTGACAGTTTAATAACTTAACCTTTGATAATTTCATCACTTTTCATAGTCTTTTAGAAATATAATAAAGAGTCAATGCGATTTTATAACGACATTAATTTAACTTGATTAAATAAAGAAATTACGTGTAAGTTTAATAGAATTCATATCTAAACAGTCTAAAACTAAGATCCTGACATTGCACAGAAAATATTTATTTTAATTTATTTATTGTACTTCTGCAATTATTTAGGAAGAACTTTCAATAGCTTCGTTTCAATAACAAAATTTCTTTCGTGAAATAATTTCTTTTACTTTCGAAGATTAATTACTGCCCCGTAAAAATATTAAGTCCGCCTACTCAGAAAAATATTAAAATTCTACACCCCTTCCTCTAAAAGGATCCTTGATGTTCCCCCGAGATCGTGAATTAATTCACGAAACAGAATGAGTAAAAATACCAGAGAATAATTTAGATAAATCTAAAAGTATGAGAGATATTAATATCAAAATACAGAGAATAGAAACCGGAGGCCGAGAATTTTCATAAATACTAAATCAAGACAACTTATTAATATCAAAATACAAAGAATGGAAAACCGAGGCTGAGAATTTTCATAAATACGAAATTAAGAGGACTTATTAATATCGGAATAGAAAGAATGAAAAAATGATGAAGGATTTGTGTACCTTGACGACCGAGATAAACTGGCGCTCAGATAATCCATGCGCCTGTTGCTTTCACAAATTCTTTTCATTGAGGCCGAACGATTCTTTCAATCCATACTTCGATAAAGTTAAGCTTCTTTAGAAGAACACGATAAATTTTCCGTCCGAAAACGTTTAGTCGAAATTTCCGTCACATTGCTGGAAAATGAGCGACGGCCGAGCAATTGTTTACAATTGAAAGGTGATTTGTCGAGCGCGTACGCGTTCGCTAAGACTTTTCGGAAAAAGAAGAAACGCTGCGACTATCTTCAGAGATATTAGTCTGAAAGCACCTTGTGTTTAAAAATTGCCTGAAAATTCCTAAATTAGATTTAAAAAATTCCTTTAAATTTGCAACTGCAATTTACAATTGTAAATGATGGCTGTGATTCACACATGTAACTGTTTCTTAACTCAAGAATTTTTTAAAGAAAAAAAATTGCATAATCAAATTATACGATTTTTTTATGGCATTTCTTGTAAACAATTCATTATTCTATTATTTATTTGATTTTGTAATATGTTCTTTAGTGGTTTTCTTGAGTTATGAAACAAAATTTGTTTTTTATATTCTTGTTTATAGATTTTGTTTTTCATTAATAAGAATTACTTTGGAATTTTTTTAGATCTATTTAAAACTATTAAATAGTTGAAACTTGTACTTATGTTCAATGAAGAAATGTAACATTGTACTATTTAATTAAAAAATGTAGTATTGTACTGTTTAATTAAAAAGTATAATGCACTGCTTAAAAAATGCAAAGCTGTGCTAATTTTTAATTTAAAAATGTAGCATTATACTAATGTTCCCAATTGAAAACAAGATGTCTAATATTTGTTAGAATATTTACAACAGATTTTTAATATTTGTTTTGTTATTTTATTAAGCAAACTTATCTTCATGTAAATAGATTTGAATTTTACCGCCACCGAGATCACAATTTAGATCAATATGGCGGAACGTCTTTCAAGTACATATAATATAACTATAAATGATCAAAAAGCCATTTTATATTGAAAATGTTAACGAAAAATTTTTCTAATAATTTTCACCGAACTTCAAATTTTAAATTGATATGCAACACATAGTATTTTACAATAGTTTTATATTAACAAATCACGAAAGAGTTTCTATGTTTCAACGACAGCCATTTAATTTGATGTAATGTATCTAATATAAATTTTTTGAAATAAAAATCATTTATTTGCTTTCATTTACAGATTATTATATTTCACGTAGCTCGTGGACCATTTATTGAAGAATTCACACAATGCGTGACTCATGGTTTCTACACAGAAACATGGCAAGAACAACTCTATGTATCTTTAAGTTTGTTCTTTATGTTCCTCCTTCCTCTAGCCATTCTTATCACCACCTATGTTTCTACGATAATTACGATCTCCAGTAAGTATATTTTAAAATGAAAATTTAGCGCGAAATTTATAGAAAATTTTGGGATTAATATACGTACACTACCGTCCGTAAGTATCCGGACACTTGGTTTCGTTACATAAAACATAGTTGAACTTTGTACGAAAGGTATTTAGGGTTATCATATCATTTGTAATAATTATTATTATCTTTTTTGAGGTGTCATAACGTAATAGAATTAATTTTTAAGTACAAATTATACAATGAAAGTGTGAAAGTAAAATTCATGTCCAGAAGTACAAAGTC